AAAATAAATTATGTACTATGGATAATAGCTAAACAAAAAGCATTTAAAGATTGAATATACCAGAGTTGTTCAACCTTTTTTCCTAATGGGCCAAATTAGATTTTTAGGTATATTCACCGGGTCACAAGGTATTTTATATAAATATATATAATATATGCTTTATTATAATAATAAATATATGATTTTAAAAAGTTCAAAATCTGAATATAAAATTTCAATAAGAAATATATATTATTACGACAAAAATAATGTATTATTCACATTACAAAAAGAAATTATACTCCACAAAATGAAAATAAATTCAATACGATTTTCCACATTGCATTTATTTTATAATATTGTCGATATATGCTTTTATAGTACTAGTCTTAATATTGAGAATGTTAGTTAAGTGGGAATCCCTCAACCTATTTCTTTCAGTAGTTTTGATGTTTTTCAAGTACGAAAAATTGTTCCCCACTGTAGGGACTACCCCACATGTATAACAGTTTTCTAGATATATTGAGAATTTCATTAAATTCATTGAAAAAAATGAACTTCTTTATAAAATTTAAGAAAGGAATGTTCTTTATGATAAGCTTTCAAAGATTCCGTGCTTTGAAGTTCAATCAGTTTTAGCTGGTGCTTATGTAATTAAATGATAATGGGTCACTGAACAATTTTAATTCAGTTTCTATTTTTCTGAAGTCAGAAAATCTGGTTGTTAAATCTTTTAACAAAACTTTATACAATTTATTATATCTTTCAAAGTTCACAAGAAATTCTTTTTTTCTTTTTAATAAACTTTGAAAACGCACAATTTTACTCGGAAAATTTTTCATGACAAATAGGGCAGATAATATTATTGCATGTTATGATTACAAAATATTCTTCTGGCCAAAAGATATTGAATTTTCTCCTTTCTTCTGTTATTTTTCTTTCTTAGTATTTGATGCCATTAACAAATGCTCGGTTATCAAAAATATAAATTTAAAATTGATGAAACAATTATGAATATAATTGAATATTGAAAATATTTAAATTATTACGTTAGCAAAACAAATAGATAGATAGATCTATGTCTGTATTATATACCTGTAATAAGAAAAAATGCCTAAGTGGAAACGTGTTGTTTTTTATTTATATAAAGAATAAATTAGTCTCTTCCACTTAGACATTAGGCTTAGCCTCGAGTCACGAAAAATGGCTTACACTCTTTTGAACAGAGGAATTATGTCTTTCTAATCCTCCTGATAAAAGGTACTCATTCTTTATCACTAATAACATCACTTTATTATAAGAATCTTTGAAAATGAAACAATCAAAACGACAGACCACGCCACCAACTATTTTGATTGATCAAAAACAAATTATGTCATTACGACATCAAACTGTATCCAGTGAAACGAGAAAAATTTTTACGGCATACTTTACCAAAATAAATGAAAATGTACTTAAAAATTTAGTGTGCAGTGGGCCGCATAAAAGTATTAAGTAGGCCGCGGGTTGAAAATACCTGGAATATACAATGGAGTTGACATAATTTTCCCATAAGATATAATCAAACTTATGTAAAGCAGACACAGGCAGCTCTTGCAAATATTAATTACTTATTTTTTCTAAAGCTCTCCTGTAACAATTTGTAATTTCATTCACAGATAATCAAAAACAAAATTTGCCCAATTCAAAATTTATACTTTTTAATATCTGGAAAAACTGCTGTAATGGTAGTTCCTATCAAAAAGTTCAATTTGCTTAGGAATCTCGAAGAAATAATTCACTTCTTCGTTTTTCGATTCTTTTTAATATTTTCGTAGAGTAGATTTACTTGAACATCATGATTTGTACGTTTCTGAAAAACTTTCTAAAGTTTATGCTATTTACTTCATTAAAAGTATTTTTCAGGTACTTCTCGCATAACAAGGTTTCGTTCTAAAACGATTCGAAAATTGGGGAAATAAATCTCCCTTACTACACGGTTTTCGGTTTCGTTTTACACTGTTCGGAAAATCCACTGTTACAAAATTTCACAATTTTCAATTGTAAACTCTGTTATTCGATATTTCATTTATTCAAGTAAGCACGTGTGTTGTCTCAAAATTTCTGACTAATTTTAGACTATTGAAATTTCCAATTTATTTTGTGCCTTTCGTCAATATTTTATAAGGAAAACTGACATTGCAATTTATTTTCCTCGTTGTAGCTTTCCTATCTTTGTCATTGCTTTCAGACTTTAGCCTTTAAGAAAAACACACTGGCATGTGTTTTTTAAATAGAATAATTCCGTATTTAATAAAGTTTATTTAAACATTTTTAGGTAAGTGTTATTAAAATTCTTTAAACCGCAGGTAAGTAATCTTTCGTAAAAATGACGAACGAAATACAGCGATATCTCGGTACTCGACTCGAACAGTTTCTAACTCGAACAATTCGGTATTCAACACAAATTCTGTAAAAAAGTAATCGTTCGGCACTTGACTGAACAAACGGGATCCGCTAGAACAAATCTGCAATTAGTAACATAGTTTTATTATGTCAGCCATATAAATTATGATAAAAATATTAAAAAATAAAGATGTTGCTGATATTTGTGATCAAAATTAACAAAAAACTTAAAAGATGACGATACTTTGTAAAAAGAAAACGCCCTTGTTCAATTAAAATTAATACAGTACTAGAACATCGCGTGACTTTGTCGTATCTCGATAGAATTAAAGTGAAGCCTGAAAGAATGAAGCTATCCTTGCATTTGTTAGACACTGAAAAAGCGATTCTTATACCTGGCAATCACGTACAGGCGAACTTTACACTTGCCGCCATGAAAGCGGCCATTTTTGCACTTGGTCGGTCACGGGAGAGGCGATTCATGAACAAATCAATCGATGCCAATGCCCACCAGTGGCTAAGCGAATAAAAAAAGTATGTAATACTGAATTTATTGTTAAACGTAGTTATGATTCATAAAGATTTTAAGTATAATTGTATAAAGGGTTTGCTATTCGTTTATGTGACGTACGATTCGGTACATAATGTGAACCGCCGGGGAGGTCGTAGGGCTCCCGTTCCGGCAACAGGTCGTTAAACCTGCTCTCTTGTCAAGATGGCTAAAGTTTTCTTATTGCTGGTCCCTACAGTCGAGGACGCTCAAATGTCAGGCGAGTGGTGGGAGGGTATTTGGGGTCGACGATAAGGTGAAGGACAGACGAGTAAAGGAGTCTACCTTCTAACAGATATAAAACAAAAATTTATTTAAATAAGCAAAACTGACAAAAAGACTACACAAATCTCGTTTCTAAACCGCCTAACAGCTCGAGAGAGAGTTTACACCCTTTTTTATAACTCTTGGTAGGTTTCCAAGACGAATAAGTCCATGTAGGCACTTAAATGTCCAAGGAAAGGCGTCGTTAAATGTCCAAGGAAAGGCGTCGTTAATCCAATGAGCACATATATAAAAAGTTCACGACTCTGGCGATGATAGGATATCGATGTTCGTAGATCGGAATTTCGGCGGATTCGAAGAATCGGCGCGATGTCGTCGGTCCGGCTTTCGTTAAGAGACTCCCCCGAGAGGGGGTAAGAACTGTCTTTTATAGCTTTTTGTGGGGAATTTTCATCACGTGATCGAATGGTCTATGAGCTAAAGGTTATAGGTGTTCCAGGGACCTAAAACAAGTGACGAAAGTTGGATGCTAACTATAAACTTTTGTGCAAGACGAGCTGCAAGTTATGTAGAGTACTGTACAATAGATGTTGATAGTTATGACAGGAAGGTTTACACATTCCCGGCTAAGATAGATTTTTTTTTCTAATTCGTTACATAAACGAAAGTGAACTAATTACAATTTTTGTTAATAAATTCCGGATCTCACAATAACAACCAAACTAAGGTAATAATTTGTATGAAAATTTTCAGTGATATTCTCATTTTCTTACTGTGTTAACAATGCGTAATTCATTTCCATTGTAAAATCGGCTCTCAAAAGTGGTAAAAAATATTTAACGCTATGACATTACTTGGCATATAATGTATTTCAGCTTTCATTAAAGAAAGAAACTTAATCTAGGCAATTTACCAGATTTCTAAACTTTTTGAAATGTTTTCCTTAAATTTTGAAAAGTTTTAATTTGCTCCTTAATCACTTGTAATCTCGAAATCACTAGCTAATGTAAAAATAAGTTTTGCGTTAATAACTAGAGCAGTCTTTTTCCCCCTCTGAATTTTGGCATTAATTTTCTAATTTTTTTGTGAATTAAATAGAACAGAAAAAATTACAACAATAGTTATTTAAATTAATACTTTTCATTTACATAAGAAAAGCAATTATCATTAATTATTAATTTTAATTTAAAAATGATATGATAATTGCCTTTAGAAATCTTCCTAACGTCCCGCTATTTCTACGTTAAAATAATTTAAACTAAACATAGACGGTTACAGATTCATTTTTTTATTTAAAGAATTAAATAAAATACCCCGATGTTATGCACATATAATTTACTTATGAATATATATTCTTTTATTACATTATGTATACATTTAGTAATTATAACAACGAAAAATTCGTAGAATCAATTTAAAATTAATTTAAAGAGCGTTTAATTCTGATGTGTACACTTATTTTTTGACACTTAGTCTCAAAAAATATAGACACATATCCATATTGGCTAATCACACCAGTGAATGAGATTAATTTACAAATTCTTTAATGATTACTAAGGGCTAAAAGCAATATATAATTCAATTGTACACTTGTTGTTCTTTGGGCTTCTTTCGAAAATAATTTATTTAATAACCTTTCATAATTTTCGCGGAAAATCGGTGTGCGGAGGCATAATTGTTTAAAATCACTGTTCTAGTAGAAATAAAAATAAATGATTTATTTATTTCTACTTTTACAGAATCGTATGTCGATTAAATAAAAAATTTATAGATTCCGACAATTTCTCTAAAATATAAGTTGTAATTGTATTAGAATACTAAAAGCTTTACAGTATTTTAATATTAAAATTCAATTTTACAGTAGGAGGAGGATCAGCAGGAGCAGTCTTAGCTAATCGACTGTCTACAAATCCCAAAAACAAAGTTCTTCTTTTAGAAGCTGGTAATGACGAAAACATTTTCACAGATGTTCCTATTTTCTCTTTTGGTGTTCAGAGAACTTCTATAGATTGGCAATATCTGACGGAACCGCAGAGATTTTCTTGTTTCGGCATTGATGAAAAAGTATGTAGTTACATAAAAACAATATTCCATATATATATATATATATATATATATGTATATATATGTATAT